TTGGGAGGGGTTTTAATTTCAGGAATTCAATCAGACAGCGGGAGCAGCTCCGGGGCTCCTCACCCGTCACGATCCCACAAAAAATGGGAACGGATTTATCCTCCCGTCCTGCTGGGAATGGGAGGAAACCCTGGAATTCCATAAATAAGACGGATTCCAGGCTGCAGAGGGTGGAGTGATATCCCAAGGGAGCACGGGAGGCGGGGAATGCACCGGGATCGCTCGTTTTTAGCAGAAAACATCCTTTCACCTTCCAAACCGGGGGGAAAAATAAGATTTTTAAAAAAAGGGGAAACTCGAAATTTTCCATGGAAAACCCTGAAGCAACCGGAACATSCCGATATCCCTGTGGCAGCTGGGAATTGTCCGCTGATCCTGCGGGGGCTGCTCCGGGATCCGCGGGACACCGGGACACGCCAATCCCGTTAATCAGCTTCCCACACTCCTGCTGCTTCCCGCGGATTTTCCTTTCACCCTCTCCCGCTGTTTTCCACGGGTTTTTCCTTCCTCCAGCAGAAAAAAAATATTTAAAAACCCAATTATTTGGAATTATCTGGTTGGAAAAAGAAAAGGGGGTGCGGAGTGTTCCTGCGCTTTGGGAACGGGCGGGTTTTTAGGGGATGAGTTAAGGAGAAAACTCCTAATTTTTCCTCGGAATTTTGGAGGGAGAACCATTAAAATATGATACTGGGACCATATTTTAACTGGAAAAAAACCACACGGTGGGTTCACCGGGATGTGCTCGGTTTGGGAGGAACAGGGAAAAGAATTGGGGTGAAAAACTGGGATTGGAAAGGGAAAATTCCAGGTGGGAAAGCGGGAAGTTTAAGGAGCAGTTGGAGGGCACAGCTGAGGGTAGCAGGGGTTTGGTGCCACTGGGGATACTGGGGGATACTGGGGGACACTGGGGCTGCTGCGGCGCCATTTTTCCTAACAAAAAAATAGGAATCCAGCAGAAAATCCCACAGAATCTGTGGGATCCCATTCCCCTCATCCCATTCCCGATGGATCAGCCCCAAATCCCACCCCAGTGCCGCTGGCAGCTCGGGGACACGCGGAGGTGACGCGGTGCCRTTGTCCCCTCAGGAAAATCTCCTTTCCAGATCCACCCGTCCCACCCTGCTCCCGGAAAATCCTTTGGGGCCGGAGGCAAAGGGGGACGCGGGCGCTGCCCGTTCCCGGGATGTCCCGGTGTCACCTGTCCCYGCCGGTGGCATCTGGCCCCGGTGATCAGCCCTGGGTTAATCCAGCACAGCCCCGGGATGGATCCTGAGCCTCTGGAAAAGCTTCCCGGATCCCACCTCCGCTCCCGCTGCCCCGCAAGGCCCTGGGAGGAGCGGCCGGAGACTCCCCAAGAYGGGAATGTTTGGAGGAGCTGTGGGGTTTTTGGGGTTTTGGGGTTTTTTTGGGTTTTTTGGGGTTGGAGTCGCCAAAATCCTGCTCAGGGCATTCCGTGGTTTTGTGAATAAAACGATGGAGGAGAGTTTGATCCATGGAATTTATCCGTTATCCCATAAAATTGACCCAATCCCACAGTGTTCCCACCATGCATCCGCTTCCCAAAATCCTAAAGGAGAATCCCGGAAGATTTGGGGTGGGAGTGACCTCAAATCCCACCCGGCTCCACATTTTCCWCYATCCCAGATTGCTCCAAATCCTCTCCAACGCTGCCTTGGGAAGTTTCTTCCCAAAAAACCTCAGTTGGAGACCCAAAGTGACGCTCCAGGTGTGTCCCAGCACCCCTGGCAGGGTTTGGTGACCCCAAGAACGGCGCCAGCCCTCGGGGACAGACGGAGTTTTTCCACGAGAATGATGCAAAATCCCATTTTCTTCATTCCCCGGAGCCATTCCCCATTTTTTCTCACCATTCYCYWYTTTTTCTCACCATTCCCTGTTTTTTTCTCACCACTTTTCCCGTGGCTCTGCATGAAATTGTCACTTTTTGTCACTCAATCGTAGGATCTCAGTGTCAC